TAGTCAAGTAATAAATCCCATTAAGTGTTCTGTAATAACAGAATCTAATTTCAAATCCAAATAAACATGCTATGTTGGAGAGGGAAAGGGGAAAAACAGACTTTAGATTAGTAAAAAGATTCAACCAAGCTTGGTTATTTTTCAGTGCCCAATTAAAATATATTTTCAGAGTTGGTTTGTCCTTTGTTTACAGCAACACATTTGTACCAAAACAAACATGGAAGGTGAACATTTTAATCAAAAGGATCATAACAGTTAATTTAATAAATAAATAACAGACATCCAAAAAACTGAACAGCATTATACTTAATTTATTCAAGTTTTACAAGTCTTTATAAAAAGTTTACACATATCTACTAGAAATTATATAATTACAGTATACCCAGATTATGGCAAATATAATAATAAATAAATAAATAAATCCAAATTTCAAATTTAAGGCTAAAATTAATGAAAAGTAAATTGATTCTTGATTCAGTGTTGTCCCAATGGAAAGTGTAACCGCATAGACTTCCTAGTATTTGACCAAGTCTGAGTAGGCATGTAGAACTACTTCTGTGTTGCTGGGAAAATTACATGGGCATTTTTATGCAAACACCTGGCTTGAGGAAGTGTTTACCTTTACTGCACTATCCTAAGAGGAACACCTGTACAATACTTTCATTTTGCATTTTCATTCTTTGTAGGTTACACAAAATAGCTGTACTGCAAAAGTACTAAATGACTTCAAGTAATATCCCATGCAGTGATTGTAACAATCTAAAAAAAATTCAGCACTGGTCCAACTGTACACGCAATATTTATTTTCAGCAGGAGTATTTATGGGGAATCTATAGAGTTGGACACAATCTAAAAGAGAGGAGCTGTGAGATTTTAGAAGATATTAAGATATCAAGTACTTCTTTGGCCAATCCTCAAAAAACGTGATAGCAAAGGAATTGCGAACAGTAACCAGAATCGCTTTGGATAGTGAGATGGGCAGAATGTAAAGTTAATAAATAAATAAGTAAACAAACATGCAATTCAGGGGGGAAAACCTCGAATCAAGCTGTGATGTAAACTATTTGTTGCAGAAACGATCAATTTTACATTGAGATATCTGCCCAATAACAATGATTTTGCTATTTGATTACATAATAAGTATAGGTAACTATGGGTTACAAGTAACTCAAGTACAGATAACTATGGGAAGCCAATTGTACAGAAAATACTTTTAGTGGTATTTGGAGTTGATATAGGACCACAGCATCTGGTCTTTGAAATTAAATAACGTTTTAATCTTTCAAAGTCCCTTGTAAATTAATTTATGTCAATGAACTACCCTTAAATTTTAGATTCTTTCAAACTGCAAGTAGTATCAGCCAGTTTTAAATAGCTAATATCTGCACCAATTACACCCAAATGCAGTACTGTAGTTAAGAGACTTGCTGCTTCTATACACAATTGAGTGCAATGGGTAAACATGTGCATTGTACACTGGCCATCGCAAAAATTTTGTTCTTTACTCAGTCTATAGTGCTGAGTTTATTGCAAGGTCGGTTAAGTTACTATAAGGGATTTTTAATGAAAACAATTATAAATTTAAAATAACTGTGTTTAAAGCATTTAACAGTCACTGGGGTCAAGTGATTACAGCAGTTACAAGACTCCTGGGATATGTTCACACCAAAACAAAGTGAATAAATTACCCCAGCAGGCGTATGTAATCACTAAGTGACCACAAAGGTCAGGCAGTGTACAAGCCCAGATGACTTTCATGAAAAACCAATAATAAAAATTTATCAGTTAAGGAGCAAATGTATGCACACACACACATGCACACACACACACACACACACACACA